CTGCTTACTTGTAGGCCTTCGGTTGAGGTGTGTCTGAAGAAGCAAGAAGCAGGCTTCAGTCACTTCTGGCATTTTTATGTGTTAATGAGGAAGTGGTGTCTGCAGTCTGCTGTTATAGTCACTTGTCCTAAAGGTCAAGAGGTCTTTTACATGTTATTAGAGTTGTGGTACATGAACTTGCAAAAAGAGCTGGGAAAGAGATGTTTCAAACTTCAAAGCTGAGACTTCTGCTTTGAAAAAGGCTGCGTCTGAGCTTCTTCAAACTTCTCTTTCACAGCTGCCTGTGAGCAGTTTGGTGTTTTCTAATGTTGACTAATTTTTGGGTTCCTTGGAGTAGGTGGCCATTTTCTCCACCACCTGGGGAGAGAGCAACCTGAGATACAGAGTTGGGTCTCTTGAAATGAGTGGGCGGCAGATGTAGAGCCAAAATGAGAAAGCTGATGTCTGGGCTTCTGTCCTAGTTTGACTGTAGACTTAAAACTCTTAAGTGTGACAGAAGTTATTTATTTCCTCCCTCCCCTCCTGCATCTTGGCTCTGACTCCTATTTGCTTCTAGGTGTTTTATGTAGGTACTGTAAAATAGAAGAGCGTGGGTCTTGTTTGCTGCGCTTCAGTGTACGGCAGGTACCCGCGCTGCAGGTACTCTGGGAACTGGAACTTCAAATGGTGGCTGTAGCAGGCAAAAGTCAGTGAGGCTATAAAGTTGTTGGTAACTGTTTGCTGGATGAGACACTCCCTCTGCATCAGAAGCTGCTGTCTTAGCACTCAGGATGTGCAGTGCAAGTATGTAACTTCAGCTGTTTGCTGCTCCTAAGCAGTTTAACCTCTACGATGCTCATCAAGGCAGGATATTTCCCTTACTTAACGGAAGCTTCCAGCAGATTGTGTCTGGATGCTCAAAAATCCCCTTAAGGGGAAGATTCAGCACAAAGCTGAACAATAATTTTTGTCCTTTATGATTCTGTTTGGGTACTTCAATATTTTACCTACAATGAAAGCTGTCTAGCAGTGTGTACAGATGCTGAAGTTACTGGATGGAGAAAAACCTGGTAGGGAAGGAAGCTTCCAGTAGCTTCTGCATTAAGTCTGAAAAGAGACCTGATAACTAACTTGCTCTGATCTTCACAATGGATCTCTTTCTTTTCTCCCATCTAGAGAGAGAAGGTAGAGGAAAGAGGAAGCATTCTGGAGATGTGAGGGAGAATGTATGCTTAGGAACTGCATATGTCTCCACAAGTTTCTTAGACTAACTAACACAGTCTGATTAGAAGTCTGCCCTGGAATTTCTCACTGAAACGATTTTCTGCTTGTCTGCAGCATGAGCTTGTAGAACTGTCAAAGTTAATGATTTGCTGCAGCATCTTAGAAATCGTGTACTTATGATACTGAGCAATCCTTGAAATTAAGGAGAGATATATTTAACTTGATAGGCTCTTCTGTTTCATAAAGTGACAAGCAAAGTTTGTCTAAGTCAGTCCTTTATTATTTCTGTTAGTGACCCATATTGGAACTGAAATAGTTAATAAGATTATTTAAAAAGAAGCACTTCAGGGTGGAGTCATCCCTTTCCAAGACACTGCTGCCTGTTCCTGAGAACTGTCTAATTATTGAACTTGTTCAGGCTGTGTACCTTCACATTCCCATTTTTATGCTAACAGCAGTGTCTCCATTCTGGAGTTGTATTCATCCTGGTTGAGTTCTGCATGCTTTTTTGAAATGGTATCCAACCAGTGGCCTTACTTAGAGGAGTTTGTTTATTGATTGTGACTTTAGGTGTCTTTCAATGCAATCTCTAGTTTCAGTTTGGTACCTTACCACACTTACGTCATAGTGTTGCACAAGGTTGTGTTAGAATCATTAAATCTTTTCCTTGTTATTGCAAGAATGAGAACCTATCTGGACTGCTGCAAAACATCTTGTATTTTTATATACTCTCTTCAGAGAGAAACTGGATATTAATACCTCCCCACCTATACCCAAAACAACTATTGAAATTCTGTGTCCTCAAGTAGCACTGTCAGGTAGAACGGGGCTTGTGCCAGCTCTGAGTGGGAACAGATTTTGCCCCAAACAGATATTCGACTCTCATGCTCAGTGATATCCTTTATACATTAACAATTCAATTCAGGTGATATGGCTGGCTGCAGTATACTCTTCCTTCTCTGCTGGAAAGAAGTATCTTTTGCTTTCCCTGTGGAATACCCCACTGCTAAATTGGAGTCAGAAGCTGCTATGAAAGGCTTGAAAAGGTTGCTGTCTACAGATAACTGCATTTGACAGAAGAAGACTTTATTTTCCCTTCCAAATAGGAATAGATAAAAAGATATTATCTGTGAAGCTTTTTGACAAGTCGGGTATATACAGGAAGTTAGTGTATCAGAATGTGCAATAGTTCTTCAAAGGCCTAAGATTTTATTATTAAACGCAGTCCTAGCTAATGCCTAGACAGCTGATAACCTCTTAAAAAGGTTTACTTGTATGCAGAACTAACCACATAATGAATGAGGCATTCAGTTCAAACCAGAGGTTTTTCTTTTTGAGATCACTAGACATTCTGTGGTGAGGTTGAGACCTTTGTCTTGCAGCATATGGATATCAGGACTAAATAAAAGCATGCACAGCTTTATCTTGATAATATGTGCTTTTCTATCTAGAGTAAGATACACTTGGTGTTTTAAAAAAGGAACTCACACTATTATCAAACATAATTTATGCAATAGAAATTGAATTTAGTCTTATTTAGCAGACAAAAATTAAACAAAATACTATGAGTGAGGATTTTAACTTTTCTTTCTATGCCAAGACTGTAATTGGGAAAAGGAATAGGAATAATCTTTTGCATCTGGAAGATAATAGGACCTTACTTTCTGACACCACAGCTTAGTTGTGCTGTGTGTGAAAGACTGTAACCAGGACTTCAGAACTTTGCATGCTGTTGTTCTGTCCCCTGTGTGCTCCTTAAATATCTTGGAGAGACACCACAATGGGCTTCAAGTGTAAACACTGGCTTATGTTGATGTTTTAATGTACAGGAAATTCCACTTCAAATGGGTTACTCATGTGAGTCAATGATATAATAATTTTGGAACTGGGGCTGTTGTTGTCCTCAAAAGACAATTCTTTTAGAAAAAGAATTTTATTATTTTAATCAGTATGCTTTCTTATGTTAACTATTCAGGAGGATTTTGTAAAAAACTGAAACGTACCTGGTAATTTTTCCTATGGTTCTTCAAATTCACCGTTCTTTAAGCGACTCACTTAGAGTAGGGCTACTTTGAGACAGGCATTTGATGGTATGTGATGATTGCCTTTGATTTGTGTGGCTAACCATATTTACTTTGTGTCAAGATTGGAATACTGGTGGTTGACCTTACTGTGAGGCCTTTGTTATGTTAGAATAACCAAGCGTATGTACTGCTACTCTTGAAATTTTAGGTTTTTTTGTGAGAGAGAAGGGGGAAAGAATCATAAATCATGTCCCCAAGTGGCACATCTACATTTTTTTTGAACACCTCCAGGGCTAGTGACTCCATCACCTCCCTGGGCAGCCTGTTCCAATGCCTCACTTCTCTTTCAGTAAAGAAATTCTTCCTAATATCCAATTGAAACTTCCCCTGGTGCAACTTGTGTCCATTTCCTTTCGTCCTATTGTTAGTAACTTGGGAGAAGAGACTAACACTCGCCTTACTACAATCTCCTTTCTGGTAGTTGTAGGCAGCAAGGTCTCCCCTCGGTGTCTTCTCTAGGCTAAACAGTCCCAGTTCCCTCAGCTGCTCCTCATAAGACATGTTCCCCAGACCCATCACCAGCTTTGTTGCCCTTCTCTGGGCCTGCTCCAGCACCTCAGTGTCCAGGGTGGGGAGTGCTAAGGATTTTGGCTTTTCTGTCAGAGCTTTCTATTAATGAAATAAGAAAAATAAGGCAGTAATGTAGAAAGCGTATTCTATTTTGAAAATTAAAGTTGCACTTCCAAATTCATTGTGGCAGTCTGTCAAAAATGGAACTCTGTAAAACCAGAAGTTATTCATGGAGTTGATCAAGTGTGTTCCCAAAAAAGAGAAACTTCAATCTGTCAGACTTCCTCGGACAAGAATGAATCCGTGGGTATGTTTTCTTTGTTACGCCGGGGGATAGCGTGTGTTAGTGACACACTGCTATCCTCACTTAGGATGAATTGATGAATCCTCAATGAATTGAAAGTTATGATTGATAGGAGGAATGAAGTTTGATTGTGTCCTGTGCACTCTATAATACTGCCGGTGCTCACAAACCAGCAAAGGCTGTGTGCCTTGTGAGGTGGCCAAAGCTGAGTTGTGGGATTAAGGGCCTGGCTGGCGTGTAAAAGTTCTTTACCGGGTGATTGTTCATCTTGCTCATTTCCTGGCCTGGTTCGCTGCATGGCTGCACAAACAGCTGGACCATCACAACAGAGGGCATTGGGAGGGGCTGAAGCCGGAGCTGCTGCCAAGCCCTGGCCGAGTCCTCAGCAGCACCTGGGACCCATCGCGCTGCTGGGGAAAACCTGAGCCGGCGCTGGCCCGGGGGCCTGCCTGAGCATCTGGTTTGTCACAGTGACAGCTCAGTGGGGAAAACTGGACCAGACTAACTGGAAGCGTTTTATTTATAAAGTCAAATTCCTTTCAGGAGAGTGGAAGGTACAAAGGAGACAGTTGGTTAAACAGTATTTTTTTAAAAAAAAAAAAATGGGGGTGGGGGCAAAACTTTGGGTAGGAACAAATGTTTGTAGAAGCTGATTGACAGAGATTACTGTTTTAGTTGTGCCTCAATGTGGACTGCTGTTCAGTATTAGGTTGTTTGCCTTGGTAGTTTTGAAAGGTTATAAACCCTTGAATTCCTGGCTGAAGTTGAAATATTTTTTTTTCTGCAGATATGATATACGCTATATGATGATATGCTATTTTTAAGAGATGTGATAGTTTATGATTTAGTAAGTGTTCCACTGTATTTCTTCAGTTGCAAGTTTCGTTAAAGAAGTGAAAATGACGGGTCAGTAGCTCATAGAAAACGACTGGGAAATGAAATGATTGATTATAGTAAGGAGAGGCTGTTTAATGTTTAGCTTTTATATCAGACTGCCTGTATTCAGTATAGTTGAAGCTAATATGACCAGAAGAGTTCTCAGTTGATCTTTGTTGGAAACAAGCATACCAGTTAGACTAAGTCTTACTGATTTCTTGCTTCCAGCTGTAACCTTTTGTGTAGTGTTAAGATAATGGCCCCATCTGCTTTTTTTTTTTTATCACATGCCTACAAGACATCCTGGTGTATTAAGTATTGTAGAGCATTTAGTGACTTTTTGAGATTTAGTTTGGACTGTATTCTCCTTTCTCCCAGATAACTAATTTTTTAACCCTTCTGAGAGAAAGTTCAGTAAGGTTGCAGATCTTGCAATAGCTTCTTCAGTATGTGTTCAGAAAGGCAGAGAATAGGCTCTGTCCAGACTTGTATAGTGGTATTAAAAAAATTAAAGTGTTCCTGTACAGGGGTGTTGAAGATACCACAGGCTTCCTTGAATTTTTGAAGTAGGATGTAACTGTGGTGAGAGTGTGATACTTAACTTAATGCTAAAGATTGGTTGAACTACGTGGTACTGAAATTTTGTGTGTGGGGACAAAGTTCTATCTAAATGGCTCTGATCTGAAGGCCAGTGACTAAGCAGCAGTCAGGGCAGCTGTGGACGTGTTGCTGTGAGGGGGGAGAGCTCAGGAATCTGCCGGGTAGTTGCTGAAATGCTACTTGGGTGTAAAAGCAGTAGGACCTCTGTTAGCAGTGGGTGAATGAAAAATCCTCCTATCTGCAGATGTCTGGAGGACAGTAAGTTGGTAAAGGGAAAAGGCGGAAAAGAAGGGCGTTACCCTCAGAGAGGGGAAAAGGGCACAGTGCCTTTGATGGAAGGGGGAGGTGAGTGATTTGAACCCTTGAAAAACATAAATTCCTGAACGTAAAAAAAGTGAAGAGGGGGAAAGGGAAGCCTGGATTTTTGGGTGACAGCAGAAGTGACATCAGACGGCATGCTGTGAAGTAACTTAAGTGCTAAAGGCAAGAGCAAGTGTGTTAGGAAACTTCTTTTTCAAGTGAAGTCAGGGAGAGAGTGACATGGTGCAACTGAAGTTATAACTGCTTCTTCTGTTCTAGCCATATTAGAAGTTGTTTCTTGCTACTCTGGCTTTGTGACGCTAATGTTGATGGTACTGGTTCTGAAGGTACTTGTCTGTATAGTTGTGGAAGTAGGTAATTACTAACTCTTAATGATCAGAACAGGTTGATTGTTTATACAAGTAACTAGACTTCCTTCAGGAATTAAAGCACATGAAGTAGTGTTAGTGGTAAAGAAAGAGTATCGGAGAAGCAAATTTCCAAATACCTCTCTCCTTAGTGCATGTGCGTAGCTGTTCACTAAATAAACCGTTGCCAGCTGGAGTGCATGGATAATGCATGCCTTAAAGAAGAGAAGCCTTTGTGGCTGAGGGCTCTAAAACAGCAGTCCTCTTCCTCTGACAACTTTCAAGACAAGAGTACAAGCTCACAGTGGGTTTTTCCTATGTGAGGAGCAAGATAGATTGATCAGATTGCTGTGAGGTGTTATGTACAAATCTGGATCCTGGTCTCAGCTCTGCAGCCTGCTTCCCGACAAGCAAGTCACTTAGTCTTCAACGATGCTGTGTTCTCTGCTCAGCTTTCAGTGTGGATGATCTGTAACTTTACCTGTTGTTAATAGTGTTGTCAAAGGAATGTTCCTTAGCTTACTTAACTGGATTTGCCCTCAAGTACAGTTTTCATTTTCAGAGACTACATGTTGCTTGAGAATAACAGTCCCTTGTTGTGGTGTTAGCTAAATCATGCTTAGTGTTCACTTAAGAGTTCTGTTTGAGTAGCAGTAAATTGTTACTGGGTTTTTCTCTGGTTCCATACAAAATTACTAAGAGTATTTGTATTTCTTGTGAATTTGAGTGGATAGGTGACATGCTGCATAATAAAGACGACCTGGAGAATAAAATGTTTCTTCCCAGTGAAGATCAATCACTGTGGGTTTTATCAGAAAAGTGCCTTTTTTGCTTTTATGCTCAAAGTTATTATTTTAATTCTGTGCAGTTATGTTATACTGAACAACAAGTAGCCTGCTGCTTTCTGTTTGGTAAGATGAAGTTGTGGCAACTGATAAGAGAGACTGATAAACCTATTTTTCCAAGGGTCATGTCCAATTTCACATTGGCGGTTGGGACATCTTGTGTAGATTAAGTAGTTTGAAGAATGGCTGTAAAAACTTGACCAAAAGAACTTAACTGTAAGAAGTGTAAGAACTATGATGCCACATCTGTGTTCATGTTTGTGACCATTTGAAGTGCTGTTTTGTTTGAAGTAGCAAGACACTTGCTACTTTGGGTGCGTGTGGTTTGGCTTCTTCTAAGGTAGTGATGTTTGAGCAGTGAGAGATTTCAATGTGCAGACCTGAACAGAGACATGGAAGCAAAACGCAGAAGTAGCTTAGGTTGTTTCACAGACTTCGAAACTGTTTGCCTCCTGTATGTGCCTATCTGAAAGCAGCATCTACTTAAGTCTTTTCCATTATTTTTTTTTTCCTCACAATGTTATTTTCTGTCATAGGCATATCCAAAGTACAGAAGTTAAAGATTCTGTCATAAAGATACTGCTGTGGGCTTGGGTTGAACAAATGAAGTTGTGCAGATGAAGTTGTAAATGACAAGCTTCTTGGATTCTGGAGTAATTTTTACACTAGTGAATTGCCATTGAACTGCTGTCCCTGATCATACGTGTTTACCCATGCTGTGGTCACTGTCTTGGCACTCGCAGCCGCTGCTGGCCGTGCGTATCGCAGAAAGCGTTCCGTGCTGGGGGCTTTCTGCCCACCTGCCAGCGTGCTGTGCCCCGTGCGCTCGCTGGGGGAGCTGCCAGCCTGTCACGCCTGTGTCTGCGGAAGCCTGGCGTGACAGGAGGGGAGCTGCCTTGCTCTGCCCAAGAGTGTGACGCTTGTGAAGACAAAAGGAATGTCCATAGCTGTTCTGTATGCCGTTAACAGAAACATTTTCTCCTGGTTACTTTTATGGTAGCTTTCTGCGATCAGTAGAACAGGTTTGCATAGAGAACTATATTTTTTGTTACTGTCTTTGTGTTCTGCGAAGCACATGCCATTGACCCTGCCTTCTCTAGAATGACTCTCTTTAATAACAAACAATTCTAAATGAGGCTGCGCTTGCCTCATTCCCTGGAGAGTGTGTGGGAGAGGAAAACCATGGCCCTGTTAGTTGTGTTTTTCTAATGTGTTCCTGAAGGTATTAATTTCTGCAGGGATGAACATATTAGCAGAACCTACACAGAAGAGGATTATGGGCTTCTTTCACCTACCTCCTGTAAAGGTGCAAGATGATTACACTCTTGCAATCTCCAGGGGTGCAACCAAAGCATGCCTTTCATCTGGGGTTGTCTTGTATACGCTGTAGCTGTCAAGGATCGTTAAATTTGAGGGTAGAATTGCTGTTATTTTTTGTTTAAAAGAGATACGTGTATTTCATTCAGTTGAACTCGGTGCCTTACCAAATGCCTGAGCTGTTACAAGTAGTCTCACTGAACTGAGTGTCTCAGGCTTTGACTTCAGGAAGAGTGTAAGAAAACAAAAACTAATACAACCTTGCTTTCTGTGGTACAGAAACAGTTAAAGATCTCTGCTTAACCTAATTCTAGTGAATATAAGATGTCCTCTATTTATATACATTAAGCAAGTTAGTAGCAGGTTGTATACTATCTTAAAATTCAAAAGAAGAAGCAGGTTGAAGTTTTCCCATTGTTCAGTAGAGGTGGAGAAAATTCACTTGGCTTCTTCCCTATTCCCAATACAGTATTAAATTTTATTTTTACACACCCTACATCCCCCATTACATACACTTCTCCTATCTTTTAGAACTCTGGATCACTGAACTGTTAGATTCTTAAAGAAATTATAATGCTTTCATATGTAAAAGCACAAATTGTTACTTGAACTTGGAAATTAAGTATTGTAATATGTTCAATAACTCATTCTGTACAACAAAGCAAATGGTCATGTCTGGATGTTTTAAAATACAAGTTTTTGGGGTTTCTGTAACGAGGTTCCAGGGAAATTGTTTTGTTTAGATTACTTCTGATGAACTTCCAAACAACCTGAGTTGAAAGTGACCCTTTATGCTTTCTTATTTTATTTATTCTAGTGAATGGGATGGGAGGGCAGATGACAATCTGCTGACTTTTAAAGGTATATTTTTTAGCCTGTAGATTTCACAGACACTCAGGCCTGTAGTGGTAGGAAATGCTTGTTTGCATCTTAAGCTGCCTTTGGAATATTTGGCCCCTTATAATGGGAAGCAATCTGTCAGCAATGTAATCGCAAGTCATACTGCTAAGAAGCTGCAAGTGCTGGTGTTCTGTGATCATCAAGCTAAGCTTTATCTTTAAGAATATCAAGTCCTGATTGTCAAGTCTGTGTTAGTATTCATTCTGTGCATTTTTTTCCCTTCTAAAGGCAGGTTAACACAGGTGAAAAATGCATAAGTACTGAGTGCTTGACAAATTCAAATAATATCTACTAGACTGTAGACAAATGTATGGTTTAGTCCTTAGTAATTTTTTTTTTATTGCTTTTTTAGGATGTGTGTGTGATCCCAAACTAGTGTGACTTTGTTTTATTAAAAAAAAAAAGGGGTGGGGGAATTCGGCTATTTAATTTAAATGAACACACCTGGTAGCATCAAGGTGTCTGCTGAGAAAAAGCCTTCTATGATTTGAGATCAATGTGTGTTTGTAGCTGCAAATGTATTTACCTTGTAAAGACTATATTAGCCCTCTGGAATGTCTTGTGGCATTAGGATTTAATTCATTACTGAGATTTGTGTGAGCTAGAATGGTCTCTTAACCTTTTCAAAGCAATGAAACTGTTTAAAAGGTCTAGGGGTTTGATGTTCCTGTGTTTGGAAGTAAAGAGGGGTAGGCAAAAAAATTTGGGACTGAGAAGATTGAAATTAGAAGTGCAGTTAAGAAAATCAGGTAAGTTTTAGCTGTAGTGGCTCTAAAAAGAACAGAGCCTAGGGTCTGTCAGTGGATGGAGATTTTGCAAAAGCTTAGAAGAAGAAAAGAAATACAATTGGTTGAACTCTGTTCAGCCAGTATCCTAAGGAGTTTTAAAAAACGGAGGGAGGGAGGGGGAACAAACAAAAAAACCCAAACAAAACCAAATCACCCACTCGTTTTTACAGTCTAAGATGATCTGAAAATACAAGAAAATTAAGAACTGTCAGCATGTAATTGTGATTTTAAATCATAATGCTGAAGATGTGTTTAAGTGTGTTTTCCTACCGTTTGGTGATGATAAAATGGTTCCCTTGTGTACAAGGAGACATGGTTACTCTATTACTTCATAGCAGACTGTGTACAGGTTGTTCTAATCTTAGGAATGTGAGCAAGATGTGGTGATTTAATTTAGCAACTTGATAATTTCAACAGTATTGTAGTAATGTAGAAATAGGTCATTTAGAAGTCTCTTGCAAATATCAAAATTGTTGCTGTAGCTTTACAGAACAGGGTAGAGATTATATAACATTGCAAATAAACCAGCCGTATTGTTAAGGAAGAGAAAGCTTAGACAGGATCTACTTAGATGACAGATCTCTAATCAGGAAAAGCTGTCTTCATGTGTTCCCACTATCTTATGCCACTGTTTTCCTCCTTTTTTTTTTTTGTAAGCAAAATTGTTAGTAAAATGTAAGTAGACCCTCTTACAGAGGATGAGATGGAACGTCTGAACGGTGACGTTGTGTGTATTCTTCTAGTATGCTGTGGTTTTTCTAGAATGATTTGACAGGTTTTGAAATTGTTCCAGTGGCAGGAATGCAGGGCTCTATGCTCTTGTATTTTGTGTATTTATTAGTAGGCTAAATTCTTTTGCTGCATTTTGTAACAGAAGCATTTGTGTTGACAAAGCTCCCAGTTAGTCCTGGTGTTAACACAAAGACTCTCTAGAAGTGATGATCCCATTCATTGTAATTGTATCTGACTTGGCTGTAAACATTCCCCCTTTGTCCTCAGGCCATGCTAGGTGTGATGTCATCTCAGTGTGTCATGTTTTACTGAGCCATTGTATTCACTTTTCAAGCTGTACAGCATCCATTAGTTTGGGAAAGCTGACTGAATCTAAGCTTTGTAGCTTTTGCTTTTTGTGATGAAATTTTTGTCTTTACTTGTCAAGAGCAGGAAAATGTTATGTTACAGTGGTTACATAAAAGATCTCAAGCACTTAATAGGAGTGTCCTGGTTCCGTGTAAAAAAGGGGTTCAGGGCAGGACCCACACGGAACACAACTATGTACTCGCCTCTCCCCCCCTGAGAGAGAGAGAGACACTTTTGAAAAAAAAATGAAGTATATTGTTTAACAAGGAACAGAAAACAAAAAAGGGAGGTAAGGAAAATAATATATACAAAGATTAGGGGAAAAATACAAAAAATAAAGTATACAAAACCCTCAGAAATGGTTCCAAGGTCCCACGGAGTGAAAGGACAACTTCCCTCTCCGAGCTCCAGGGCAGGAGTGAAATTAGAACCCACTTCCTACCTCTTATCAGAGTGTGTGTCGGAAGGGGAGGGAATCCAATGGTTTCACCCCCACCCGGGGTCCTCCCAGTTGCTGGAAGGTCACGCCCCCATTCCAAGCCTCAAACCACAAGGAGTGATACCTGTCCAGCTAAGGTAGACTGTACAAAATTGCTGCATGCCAGCTGAGTAATGAAAAGCCCAAAAGAATGGGGGGCTTTAGACACAGGGAATTAGTAGTAAAACAACTGCTGTTCTAGGGTTCCTCTTATTAAATGTTGTCTTTGTATTTGGGAATTTTGTGTTTCTTGCATGACTTAACAACTCAAATCCATCTCTTCTGTTCAGGATACAGATAGGGAAGAAAAAGCTGACTTAATTTTCTCAACAGAATTAGCTAGAAGGAAGTTTAGTTGTTTAACCTTACAAACCACAAGCTGAGTTTTGCATTGTGCTGTGGTGTTACAAACTCATGGGCTTGTTTATATCTCAAGATCAGAATGTTTGAAGTTTGTGTGTAAATTCTGTATTTCAAAATGTAGTGACTCATATCCGAGTGAAACTCAGCTGTTCCAGAAATATGGATTACTTACAGATCTAGAGAAAATCGGTGCTACTTATGTTTTTCAGTTAAACAAATGTATTTATTGGTAGGTCTGAAGAATTAAAGACTGTTGCAACAAACTGGAAGTTGGATTGAACTTGTATTTTAATATTAAGTTATCTATTATGAAAAAGTTGGAATGGGTAATATCCATATTTTAGAAGTCTTAAAATTTTACATACTTTCTGATACAGATGAGTGAATATGCTTACACAGTGTTTAGAGAAAAGCCTTCTTGATAAATGCATTGTTCCCATCCATGTTTCAAAAGCTAAAGAAGACTAAAAATGTGAATATTTAACCTTTTTTAGTATATAGTGATTCATACACGCTATACACTAATAATATAGGCAGTTTCAAACCCTAGTGTGTTTTCTCACATATGGCAGAGCTTGATTTCATTGCAAACAGTGGTGTGAGTTGGAATGAGAGCAAAGAATGAGAAAGGGCTGTCATTCAGTGCAGAAGGCATCAGCACGTTCGGGCAGCCACTGTGGTAGATTTAAACACGCAGTGGGATTGCTTGGTCACCAAGCCTGCACTGTCAAGTGTGCCTCTGTCTAATGAAGGATTTGCTGCATGTTTTTTTTAAGGAGATTTTTGTATAGGCCTCCCAGACTGGGATAGATACTCGTTGCAACCAGTGAATGTCCTACTGTGTTTTTGTTCATTAAATCCTTCTGGTGGAGAAAAAGCCAAAAAATACCTGCTAGGAAAACGCACGTACACAGTCCAACTGTTGACTGGATTGGGGGAATGTTTTTATTCTAATGAGACTGAGGATTTTTAGAAGCAGATGGCTCATTCAGTCTTGGGAGGGATTTTGTTTGTTATTTGTATTTTCTGATGGGAATGTTGGTGTCATCTAAAATCAGGGGAGTAGTATTTATGCTATTGCCTTTCTCCTAAGCTAATGAGCTGCTTGGAGAGGTTCAGGTCTCAAAGATAGCTGGTCCAAACAAGTCTACAGGCAGTAGGGCCACGGTTAGCAGGGGCTCACTTCTGATTTTCACCAACCTTGCATAAAGATCCAGTGTGCAGTATGAAAGTCTTGAGGTAAAAATATTGTGCTGTTGCAGAAGACTGTATAGGTGTATTATACATTATTGAGAATGAGTGAGATGTTATCAATGCAAAACATGGAATCCCTTCAATGAAGTGTAGCTCCAAAATAATAGTTTGGGATCCCAGTGACAGCTAGTATTTCAACCTTGCTTCTCCAGCAGTGATACTGATTAGGCTTTCAAAAATGTCTTAAGTGAAACTGAGGAGGAAATACACTTCTCCCAGGTACTGCATTTGGTAAAGGAAGAAAGTGTTTAAACACCGCAACTACCCATCTGTTTGCCTTTCTTAGCCTTAAAATCTTGCCAAGCTAAGCACTGGACTTTCTTGACAGATATTTGAGATGTTAGGCCTTAGTCAAGAATTGATATTCTAAGGTATCTGCTTTGTGTATGGTGTGATTTGAAATGATGCTGAAAGATGTAAACAGTTTGACTTTTCATAAAGATAGGAATATCGGGTATTCTTTTAAGGTATTTTTCCCTGCTATTTGAAACAAAGCAAAATACCCCACTGTAAACAAGTAAAAACAAAAAACAAACTCGAGGGAGGGGATTGAGCTTGTTTAAGTTCCTTCAAAGGCTTCAGTGTACAGGTAGGGGTTCTAGACGTCTGGAGCTAGAACTTCCCAGGGGTATGCTGCTAGGTGGGAACTCTGCTGGGATAGTCTGTTTTGCCAAAGCTGATTTCTCTCATCTAATCATATGACTTCTTTTATGAGGTTCAGCACTTCAGCTAGAAGGTCAGTTAGGAAGTGAGCTTCATGTTATTAAAACCCAATTCTAATATGCTTGTATTTCTCTCCAGTTTTCCAATGGGTAGTGTTGTGCATTCTACTAAACCCAGTTTCTTTTAAATGACAAGCTGGTTTGTTAGGAAGGTCTGGGGTTTTCTATAGACACTTGCACTTTGAGAGCTTGCTAAGGAAAAGTTTACTTGGGAATCACTAAAGACCAGACAGTCTTGACAGATGGGTATGATGTCTTCTTTCTGTGAAACTTCTTGCTATTTTCTTGAAAACTAAAGCAAAAGTATACAATACATTCAAGAAAGATTGTAAATGTCTAAGAATAGTATGGAATTTGGAGTGACTTACTAGAGTAGCTGTAGGAACTTTGACTTGTAAGTGTTGAAGAATGAAGTGTGATTTATTGTCTCTGGAATGAGAAACATGGAATTTTTCCGTTTAAACTGCAGTGTAGGAAATTAATGAAAGTTCTCTCATATAATGTTGCACAACCTCAGGCTATGAAGATAACAGCTGGCTGATAAAACTGAGGTTCAAAAATTTGTATTCAGCTACTAGAATTTAATTGAATGGGTGAAAAGTGGAGAATGCCTTAAATAACTAAAACAAGCAAACAAAAATCCAAAGTTGTTGATGGTATGAAGGGATACTTGCTACAGAGTTGGAAGCTACAAAGTTTCCTCCGTCCTCATAACCTTACCAAACCTGTGTTAGGAAACAAAAAGGACTGCTTTTTGAAACATCTAAACAAGAAGTAAAGGGCTTCTATTTACCTTTCTGTGGCAAGGTCTTTCTAGCATTTTGAAGCAGTACGTGCTGTGGCAGCTTACTGACAGAAAACTCAGATGTCATGGGCCTCATCTGTTCCGTATGTTGTATGTGTCCTAGCTACAGCTTGTTCTGGAAAATCAAGTACAATTCTAGTACTGTGAACCCATTTGATTGTGCTGTCACTAGGATGTGTCTTGGCACCTGCCTAACCACTGTAAGACTCTGTTGATGGAGAAAGCTGCAAACTTCCGTGGCAGCATTGTGTGCAATATATTTTGAGAAATCTTTCAGCAGTGGCAAATCCTCTATGAGCCTTGAAGCTACAAAGTTAAAATGACAGATTTTTGTTATAGTGCTAGGAACAGTTTGAATAATCCTATCTGAGGAGGAAGCCTGAAGACTCCGGATTTTGTTGCCGGTATTTGGAAGAATCTGCATTTTTAGGAAAAATTGCCATTGATATAGTTTTATTCATTGATATGTACTACTTATGATAGCATTTCTTGGTAACAATAATGTACCTGTACTGCATTTCTAAATTTCTTCCTCCTGCTCCTCCTGCCCCTGGGGTTTTAGACTTTTCAGCACTGTTTCTTACGTATGTCCATTATCTGATCAAGATGAAAATAGAATTAAATTCTAGAAAAAAAATAGTTGGATTTCCGTCAGCTTCTCCTGTGTTGCCTAAAAATGCTGTATTAAGTGTTCTTTGTTACCTGATCTAAATAGTATTAACATCACCTTTTATCTTACTCTGTGTTGTGAGTTTTTTTGGGGTTAATGAGTTTTAAAAGCTTTATGGTTTTTCTGTTTATTTATTTGTTGGGTCTTTTGTGTGTGTTGTTTTTTGTTTGTTTTTTTTTTTTTTTTTTTAACAGGAGTCTTACCCCTCTTCATCACCAATATGGTTTGTAGAATCAGATGACCCAAACCTGACTTCAGTCTTAGAGCGTTTAGAAGATATTAAGAAGAGCAATACCCTGGTGAGCAAGTGTTTTGGTTGTTTTGTGTGTTTATGTAGCTTTGTCACGTGAACAAGAAATTGAATCAGTTCAGTTTTTGGGGTTATTTGCAGGGCTTTGTAAAGACAGATTTCTCTTCCAAGAACACAGGAACCAAAAGTAATCCAGAAGATTCGGGGCGAGTTGGAATGGATGACTTAAGTGCATGCTTTTTGAAATATGTTAAATTTCAGCCCAAATAATTACACAGTTTAAGTAATTGGAGTGAAATGCATGAGAACTTAAAACTACTGAATAAACCAGCTCTTCTAGAGTTCTCCTTGCACAGAGATCAGTTACGGAGGCAGAAGCTACATGTTCTTGAGAATGTATGTTCTCCAAAACATGGGTTTAATGGTAACTAATACAAAGAATTTAATTTTGTTAAAAAGAGACTTGACCAGATAGCTACTGGTTCATCAGAACCCTACCTACAAGCTTGCTTGCAGTAGGGTAGAGAGCTTTATCGCAAACATGCTTAGGACTTGCTGTGCTGAATTGCTCATACACGTAGACTGCTTATGTACATTGTGAGAAAACAGCTTTGGATATCAAGATTGTACTTGCCCATGTAAAAGCTGAAGGGCTGATGTAATAGAAACCTGTGGATGGCCCATTGGTTTCTCAGGAATCCACCCCATGTTATGTTATGCCAAGATGAGGACAGATGGGAGTGGTTGAAGAGACAAATACACTACAAAATCTGACTTGTTTGTTCTGTTCAAAAGGCTCAGCTTTGTGGGTTTGGGGTTTGGTTTTTTTCTCTGCAGCTTTTCGCTGTGCAACTCCCTCCTTCCCCTCCAAGGGCACTGGAGCATCTCGCACACTCGTCTTGGAGTATAGGACAGGAAGGGGTAAGGAACTACCTGTAGAAGTTCAGAGCTTTTGGATTTATCACGCTATCACCTAAAAACTCACTTGGTTTGATTTAGATCTGTTAGAATGTTTGAAGCTAGTTTTCATTTAATTTATTGCAGCTAAAAAATTGTTTTGCCCATGTTGCTCTAACCTGATAAAGCTATTGGAGCAGTGAAATTTTGAGTGGGGAAATTTGCATTGGACTCTTCCAGGAGCACAACTGAGCATGTGCTAAATGCACTGCTAGTGCATGTACCCTGATTTTGATATTACTCTGCCCTTTCTACTTGCTTTGTAGCTTTCGACAGGTATCAGCTGTTTGGGAAGCTGGAGAATATGCTCTTCAGGCATAAAAGTTTGACAAGGCTACATGGACGCCTAGTCATTTCATATGGTAAAAGGAAAAGCGTTCTACTAGTTTAGTCATGCGTACGTTTCCTGGAAAATCTTTTGTGGGTCTGAAACAATGCTATTTACCTTGGCATCAGCATCATGCCTCTTGCTATGAAAATTTCTCAAAACATTAAAAATGTTGAAAGGTTAAGAATGTGGTTGGCTGTTAATATTGAATAAGTTCCAGTCAGCAGATGAAGGGGCTACAGAATTCTCTCTGATTCCTAGTATCTCCCAAATTTCTTCTGAGCCTGAAAATCAGCATTACATTAGACTTGGTAGGTAGCTGAAACAGACAACTGCCTTATAGTGGTTGTACCATGCAAAAGGTAAATCATGCTCCACTTTCATTCTGTTTAATATAACGGAAGTTATAGTTGCAAGTCTGAAGTCTCAAACCTTACTTCATGGGTTATCAGAAATAACCATACATGATTTGGAGGTTTGCTTTTTAAAGGCGATAGTGAAATGGACTTAAATTCAGATGGGCAGCTTTAGTTATCACTCTCTCCAAACCTGGAGGTCTTAAATTTTCATGGAAGACATCGAAAGTATAGAATTCCTGGCGTAAGTATGTGCACAACTTGAATAAGCTCCCAGCCCTACGTACATTGCTTCTCTATTAAGAATTTAGGTTTGGTACCACATGATGGCATTTCAGGAAAGAATATTGGCCCTTGCATGCTACCCATTTGGCAACAACTAATTATGTCTTGGGAGTCATAGAGATGAAAGGCAGGAAGAAGCTTTGCTTTACTTTCTAAAACTGCCCAAGGTTGCTGAATGTGCATGAGGTCTGTTACTGTCACAGGCCACCTGAGAGCTAAGTAGTGGCCACACTCCAAAGGACAAGTCACTTCTGCCCTCTGTTTCCTCCTGTATTCAACTCCTTCAGCAGTTGCCTTCAGTGATAGGCCAAAATGTATTGATTTGAGTTTATGTGAGTATGGTATGTGTGTATATATATGTAGATAAATACATGTAGAAGAATGTGTGTACTTAACACTCAAGTCCATTCTTCCTAATCAGAAAACAAGGTGCTTCATACTTTGTAATGCTTTCATACTGCATTAGAAAGATCTCTTTATGCATAAAAAGGCCTTCTAATGTAGGATAGGTCTCAGAAAAATTATTCTAAACAGTTTCCAAATTTGTAAGAAGTTAACACAAGAAACAGAAAATTTTAAGATGGCTGTGTTCTGAACAGCATTATAGTGTCCATAAGAACTAGCAGCTTCTCGGAACTTCTGAAGCATTAAAAGTTGTATTAGAGATGTATATATTCTTTGTATTTTGCTATTTTTATATTACTTAAAATCAGTGTTTATGAATTTTTCATTGTATTGGATCACTTCAGTGTTTACCTTGTGCAGGCTGTTTACGTTGTTTCTTTAATACCCTGTGGTTTATGCATTTTCGCTGCTCTTTAGTTACTGCTTTAGGCTGTTTATATTCCAAGGAAACTATTGGTATACTGATGGTATATTTCTTTGGTAGCAGCAAAGAGTGTGCTAGGCGTTCAGTTTACGTGAGCCAAACATGTGAAGTTGGCCTAGAAATACATTTAAATTACTAATAAATGGCAGAAATGTGCTGTCCCTGTTGATATACCAATTCATGCACCATTAACACATCCCACACATCCTGGTAGACTCCGTTTAGAGCAGGAGTTGTATCAGCTGACTTCCCAATGTGCCCTTCAGGCCAAATTATCCTACAATGTTTCATACGTATGAGCAGAGGATAGGAATAATGGTGGAGGTGATCTGTGGCAGAAGGATCAAGTGTAGGAAATGAATTCCTGAGGTGGAAGAACAGCAGTAGGGAAGAAAGGTTGTAGAGATGGGATCAGCTTCTCGCTCAGACTCGACCTTTGCAGATTGTAGAAACCGATGTCAAGTGAAACCATGGGACTTGTCACGAAGAGGATGGGGAGTGGAGAAAACAGGGCAGGAAGTAGTTCTTAACTCTCTTCCTAGCCTCTACTGTCTCTTTCTGTAGAGATGCAGTAGAGATACTGTGCTTATCTGTTTTTCCAGGCTTTGGACTAGCCAAATGGTGGTGGTGGTATTTTTCACAACAGGTGTAAACAAATTAATGGCTTGCCCAAGTTTACATAGATACATGAGAAAAATTACAGTCCCTGAAATTTTACAGTTTATGCTCCAGCTTCCCATGAGGTAGTCTTGTTTGTGCAGAGAAAATATTTTTTTCTCAACAGAATGTGTATCAGTGCAACTTTAAGAATCTTATACGTATATTGAGGGTAATAGTTTTAAGACCTCTGGTTCTATCTACCAACTAACTTTTTGATTGATTAACCTGCTTTCTGCCTGCTAAAAGATTTCCTGATGTTTCAGACACCCAGGAAGTTTCAAACAAGTGCAGAGTCTTAACATTGATGAGAAAGGTGATTGTTACAGAAAGCTTCTGGCAACATAAACTGTTACATCTCATGTATATACTCACAAGAATTGTGTTGCTGATGGAGCAGGTTTTGGTGTCATCTGGTTTATTTTTTAGTGTAGGATGACTGTCATGAATGATGCAGAAACATCAAATGTGGTGTGATGGGGAGAACATCCTACTTCATGTAATGTAGGCTGGTATGTCAGTTCATGGCCTCCAATGAATAAGTAACATTCCTATGAAACAGGAATGCTGAATTCTGGTGGAGAAGGGAAAAGCACTGAAGCTTTCAGATAGCATAAGGGCAACATTTAATTATCACTGCTAGTGTTTTGGGCTTGGAAATGAGTTCTTAACCCTGGAGAGGCTGAGTTTTCACTTGTGGTAAGGTAAGAGCATTTAAATTGGCCAATAGCAAATATTTAGATGTGCAATATTTTGGGTGACTAGATATTTCTTAGAGGGCTTAATTTTTTTTTTACATTTTAAGAAACGCAGTCTAGAAACACCAAACAGCATTGCAGAGGCATCATTCTTTCAGGATAGTACAGTCTATGCTGTACCTTGGGTGAGCCACATTGCCAGAGTCTCCCTCCTTTATGGAGAGGTACTTAAAGGGGAGAGGGGATTGCTGTTTTAAGTGTATGTTCTATATTTTGCAGTTACCAGAACACGTTCAATACAACACAATACAGTCTATGTATAAAGACTGAAAGTTGGAAATAGAAAGCAGAGATAGTAGCAGAGCGTGCCTCAACCTGATACAAGATAGGGCAAGCAGACTACTTGATCTCTATCTCAGAGTCTAGTTTCTATGCATTGTATAGTATTTGTCTTGCTTCTGGCACCTCACTGGTGTGCCCTAGAAAGGGATTCAGGATGTGAAAAATCAGACTATTCCTCTTTGTTTTCTTGAAGAGATGGTTCTTTTACCTAGGCAACTGTCTCATCTTTTCTCATGGAGTATGACCATTTTATTGTTCCCTAGTGATCTGTGGTTGAGATGCCTATGCCTGGAATGAGTGGTTCTGCTGGAGCAGATCGTTCTTTTGCTCATGGCTTTCTTCACTTGATGTGAGGAGATGAACAGGAGCCATCTTTAACTTGCTATGTCCTTGGTTTCCGATTGTGGGGATGTTTATTACAATGACTACGGAGAAGAAGGTGTCTTTAAGCCTGATTCCAGTGCATGCAGATTTTAATGCTGTACGCTGACCTAGTGTGGTACCAACGAGAAGAAAATTTAATATATATTGTTCTGTGCTATGGTTTGAAGAGATGTTTCCATGTCTTTTTTCTTACAGCTTCTTCAACAGCTGAAGCGATTAATATGTGACCTCTGCAGATTATATAATCTTCCTCAGCATCCAGATGTTGAAATGTTAGATCAGCCATTACCAGCTGGACAGGTAAATTGAAAAGCTGTGGACACTTCCTTATGGCAGTGAAGGAGTTGGTTTTTTTTTCAAATCCAAGAAACAAGATGGTGGAAATGATTAAACCACGTCTAAGCCAGAACTGAGGTGTGAAGCACTGTTGATTTCTGTGTCCCCAGCCTGAATTTTTTTTGCAGAATCCATTTAATAACAGTGTAATATTGCACAATTTGCTTGGAGTTTCTGCATCATTGAGAGGTGTGTGAGATACCCATGCTGTCAGTTTAATTCCCTCCTAATTACTGTTCATATTGTTCATTCCTAGCACTTCTCAAATTTACTTTTTTCCTGAAATGTGTGATTAAACACTGCTTTTCCTTGAAGAGTATATGTTTTACAGTGTGCACTTAGATGAATATTGTTGACATTTTCGTTACTTCTCAAACCCTTGCAGAGACATGGGATATCAAGACCATATGCTACTTTGGGTAGGGAGTATCTGAGGTGCCTTGTTTACTTTTTGTGCACTTGACAAAATAAGAAATGTGAAGGGCTGTGAAACGTTCTGGTTAACTAAAATGTTTTGAATTGTGCTGAAAACAGAACCAGTAAGTGACAGTAACTGTTCTGTTTATATTTTAATAAGATTATGACATCTTTTGCTTATACATATTAAGATGACATGATTTCTAGAAACTCCTGTAGCGTAACAGATGGTTTTCCTGTAGTGACAGTGCTATAATAATGGGAAATAACTTGCTTAATTTGGTCATGTGCCAAACTGTAAACGTATAGGTCTTTCAGCCACCCACACAGCAGCGGTGCAGCTGTAAGGTGATAGGCCTTTAATACTAGGAAGTAGCTTCACTGAAGAGTCTTGCTTGTGCTCTGAACCTCAAAACCAAACTCATGGAATGTTTCTTAGCCAGAAATGTCAGATAATTTGCACGTTAAACAAGAGTGGCCTTAGTGACGCAGACTGAAGAAACGTAGTCCCCTGCATTGTCTACAGCAGTGGTGTTCCTTCTTTGCCAAAGAAAGAGTATGCAGAGGACAAGCATATCAGAATGCTCCTGATTATTTCTGTAGCTCAGACTTCCTGAGCTTGGAGTAGTATCTGCCACTGGAAAGCCACAAAAAATTGAGGTCCGTGTATGTTTTGGTATTTTATCAAATAACCTAATAACAGTGGCTACATGATGATAGTAGTTGTTGCGTAGAAGTTCTAGGTATTGAGGCAAAAATCCATTAATTTTTGAGGTCTAAAGTTTGTTTTTTTCTTTTTTAGAGGTCTAGCATGTATATGGGCTCTAGTCAGAGCCATGATCTGATTTCATGGTTAAGGGATCATGAGTTATAACCCACTTGACTTGTGTATTGTGTTTGTCACTGTCTCAGAATAGGACGTCCTTATCTGAATCTTAAGCTTCCACTTAGACCTTTATGTGAAATAAATTGTGACATTCTGTTTATCTTCGCTTCATGCAAAAATATCTTCACTGTCATACTCCAGGAAAGCATCTTTGTGTACCTGTGACACTGAACTTCAGTCCTTTGAGTATCTTTGTGTGGAACTTCTGTATATGCTCCTTTCTCTTTGATGGTAGACCTCCTGTTTTTGAAAAAAGGAACACGTGCACATTTTATGCAGAAACCTCATTCTTGTATTGCAGAATGGAACAACAGAAGAAGTTACATCGGAGGAGGAGGAGGAGGAAGATATGGGTGAAGTATGTGTATATACGAGGTTGTTGTCCTTATCTAGTACAATTTTTGCATTTTGCTCTGTAGTGGTTGGCAGATATTAAGCCAAACTGTAAAATGCCATCTCCCTAGATTTGAACAGAAAAGATAATTAAAAATTTGGATGTTTACCTTAATGTCAGCTTTCACTTCAACCCCAAAACTAGTGAAATTTTCTTCTTAAACCTAGATCTCAGCTGTGGGGTACTTGGATACAGAGAACTGGACATCTGTTTGTGCTTTAGTCAAACAATACATAACATTGTGGGCCAAATCAGTAAGTCTGCATTGTTAACTCCTGTTTCAAGTGGCATATGAACTGGCTCTCATACAGTTGAAAGGACCTCCCAGATTGAAGCAGACTGGCTAAGAGTAAATTAGTTTGCTGATTCATTGAACAGGTGAGCTAGTTTTTAATGATAATACATTGAAGGAGATGGAAGGACATCTGAAACAGACATACTGAACTTTAAGGGATTTGTGTCACTGGCAACACCTTGCTCCTTTAAATGAGTTTTTTACTGTGACAACCACGCCTTTCAATTACTTCTGCAACATGCTAGAATAGCTCTTAAAATGCTTTTTAAACCACTATAAATAGCCTTACTATAGGAGAGCTGTTATCAATAGTTCAGATGTAGATTTTTAATGAAGGTGTGTAGTAAGAACCAACAACTCATTTTCGGGATAGAAGCTGTTCCTTTAGAAAAGAGCTAAATGTGAGCCATGTTCTGGAAGTAATATGAAGCAGCAGAGGCTGCACTGCATTTAGCCTGATCCAGACTACATTCGCTGGAGCCAGAGTTTCTGTAAAGGTAGTACGTATGCTCCCCCATCCAGCTGCCGCAAGGCTCTTGCTGCTTGCAGACTTGTAAGTAGCCTTTTGCACTCTGTTTGGGTTACTTCAGACCGAAAGGTTGTATGTCTGTCATTCTTTATAAGGTGTCAGGTGGCATTGTGTGTGGCACTGGTATCTTCAACTTGTAATCCAGTCCAATTTCTAAATTGAAATGCAGCTTACGGTTCCTAGGGATATGTCATTATTTTGGGAAACATAAGTATTTAAAAGAATATTTAGTCTAAAATTTGTTACAGTTGGAGGAAGCTCTGTTGTCAAAAGCACCAGATTGATGTGTTTCTTGCTATGCAAGAGGTTCTTGAATTGGTGTTAATGGCCAGATTTTCCTGCCATGCAAACAGATGGTGCATAAAGAGTGACCGTGGGTCTGGTGGACCACTGCATACTGGACCGTGTCTGATAGTTGTGTACTCACAGCTTGCTGATGTGGCTGCTGTAGTGCTGCTTTTTTGTCTCAAGGTGTTTACGTCCTTCCCCCCCTTTCCAGATATAGCATCTGAATCACCTTACAGGCACTTGACTTAAGTTCAGAGCACTCCTCTGCAACAAGATAACCCCATCTCGGAATACAGAACGGAAGGTTTTTCAGTGTCTTAGTCGAGAGCTCAGAAATGAAGTGTTGGCTTGTGTGATCAGAATACTTGACCACTTAATTCTCTCATATCCCAATTCCAAAACTGCTGCATCTGATCTTCAGCTGAAATGTTCACCTTGAATAAAGTACATGTAGCTTTCTGATGTTTAACTTTTTCAAAGGGTTGTGGTAGCCCTGTCAGATATGTTAATTATTGTTTACCAATAGTGTAATATAGCTAGGATTCTAATTGAAAAAAGAACTTGCTTTTGGAAACATCTTGGACACACCCTAACTTTGGAGACTTTTGGATTCTCAAGCCCTGGTCAGAATGCCTTGACTTCCTATTTTCTACCTACTTGAAGGGGCTAATTCACTACAACCTTAACTTCTCTCAGAGGATTTAGTGTGGTTGTTTCTGTGATCAGAAACACGCTGTCAATTTGGATCTAATTTGTATTGTGAAGGCTCCCTACTCTTCCAGTGAATACTGTTGGCTGAGAGAATGAAGTCAGAGCAAAATAGATGGCATCCAACAATCACCAATACATAGTGTAGTATGGTTATGCGATTGTATCCCTAAATGCCGTTGGAGAGGGTTTTGTTGAACGAAGAGCGTAGTTATTTACAGTGAATCTTCCTCTGTCCTGTAGGACATTGAAGATCTGGATCACTATGATATGAAGGAGGAGGAACCAGTTGACGGGAAGAAATCTGAGGATGAAGGCATTGAAAAAGAGAACCTTGCAATCTTAGAAAAAATCAGAAAAAATCAAAGGCAAGATCATTTAAATGTGAGTTAATAATTTATGTTTTCTCTTTGCAATACTTCTGGCTTACGGCTATGCACCTAGACATAAATGAACCTTTAGCTAACTTCCAGCACATACAGGAGAAATGTCTCAAGTTATGGGGCCTAAATAGCTCTTCTTGGGGAAGCTTCAATCGGCCAGCTAATACTCTGAGTCCATTTAGTAAATGGACTCATGTTTCTTCAAAGTCGTTAGCACAGGGAGTTAGTTGTCAGTCCACATCCCTACTTCAAAACACCCTCATCGAGTCTGGGAGAACGCTGTCATAACTGATTTTTGTCAAACTGGCTTGGGGTATTTTTTGCATTTTGGATGAAGAAACATCTTTTAGCCTTTCACTGGAGTCAAATTACATGTAAATTCACATTTCTCACTTGTTAATGGTCTTTTGCTGCTTGTCTAATTTCCAGAGGTATCTGTTTGGTTGTCCCTCTTTCTCTAGTGTGATGCCCTTGTTGCTAACAGTAGTTCTCCTTGTAGAATCGTCAGAAAGCATCTAGGTTGTACGCGTGACTTTTGTTGCTGAGCCATTATTAAAATAACAAAGAAAGCCATATATAAAGCTGACGGCATTAAGTCACAGGTGACTTAACATACTTGGTCAACTCAGTAATTTGTGCTTTAAATCCATTTTATGTCCATTTCAGTAATGTCTACACCGTGTGGAAATTACTGAAGAGTGTTGGGGTTTTTTTGCCAGACATAAGGCAAGGGGCCTTCAGCAGCTCTGCAACTTTACTATCACAGTGTTCTGAGTGCCCCTACCAGCAGGTAGTGGTAAAAAACAGTTTTCCAGAGGCTTAGAAATACTTTGTCACAAGTGCCAAGTCCAGAGAAGCTTCTACTTCTCAGAGGTATGTGTAAGAGGAAATAATGATGTCGTACAACCTTAATTTCATTTAGCCTGGCTTCCAAAGAAATGAAAACATTCTGTTTCATAGAGTCTTAAAGTGTATAGTGCATGAAATTCAATACCTCTATGCATGACCAATGGTAAAGGTTCTAAAAATCTCATAGGTCATCTGTACAGAAAGAAGGTGCTTGAACTGGTGTCTGCTACTGTGTGAATTCATAAGATTTTTTTTTTATATGCTGTTTGGCAAGTCAGTAGACGTGTAGCTTATGCCCAGACACAAGACGTGCTGTTTCTCAGTAAGCTAACGGTTGAGGATGCGAGCAGTAGCCTTAGGTACATGGGAGGGACCTGTAAGTATTTAGGGAAGGAGTAAGATTCAGGATTGGTACACAGGGAGGACCTGGATTTTTGCCCGAGGAACCAGCTTTGTTCCAATTCTTATACTTGATGATTTTCTCAGTAAATATTTTCTTAAAAAGCCTAAATAGCACTTAAAAACTTCTAGATTCAAGAGAATTGCTGTTGTAAACCTCATTTGATTTTTAGTAAGGACTAAATATGTTCAAAGTACTTGGTGCTGGCCACACAATCCACTTTTAATATTGGATGCACTCCTGATAGATCTGGTTATCATATGAATTTAGGTAAAAGGCTCCTTTAATTAGCAGAATCTTGACTGAATTACTAGCCCTAAATAACTTTAGTTCAGAAAAAAACTTTCTCTTAGTTAATGATCCTTTAACATAGAAAGGAGTTTGAGTTTATGGCCATCTTCTTTGTGAAGGTGATAAAACCAGAAATGCTTCTGTCAGAGTTCTTCAGCTACAAGGCTTCTGCTACTGTCCCAGTCCTGTTCTAGTATGATTTGAGTGCAAACCTGTCAAAAATACCTTGGACTTATGTTCTGTTGAAATAGGCAGCATGAGATATCTGGCTAGAGGAGACTGCTGTTTGATTTATGTATGAATTCAATAGGTACCTATCAGATTGTCTGAAGAAAAATGTACAGTAATGATCACACCTTCAAAAAAAAAAAAAAAAAAAAAGCCACAAAAATAAAAAACAAAACAAACCAAACACCAAAAAAAAAAAAACCAAACAAAACCCAAAACCAACAACAATAAAACCAACCAAACCAGATCAAATGAAAAACACACACACAAAACCCCAAATCTGATCAGCATTTCAGTGTTTAAACGCAGTTAAATATAAGGTGCCAAACTGCTTTTGCTGTATAGTCAAGTCTGGTTTAAGACTTGACTAACCATAAACACAACAGTCACTTAATGGTTTTGTTTAAACTTAAGTGTTTGTTCAGAGTTTGCGAAGATGCCTATTGAGATTCTGTATATCTCTGTTTTGGTAGCTCAGACCTAACAGCAAAGACTCCTTAACTGCTAAAGGAAATAAATCCCCTTGCAGCCTGAAAGGCATGGCTTGCTTTTCTATCACTGGAACTGAAGAAAGGTTTTTTGCAGTGTCAACACTCTTCCTTGGTATGGAAAGCCTCTTAAAACTGCAGATTTTGTTTTGGTGTCTGTTCTTACCCGTTTGGCAAATACTGCTTTTCCTTTTGCATTTTCCCTCCACATCCAGTGGAGCTGAAATGAACAGTGGAACAGTGTTGGTTTTTTTTGTTTGACAACAGCAGATTCAACTTACATAATAGCTGTTTCTCATGCCAAGACACTCTTGTTGATGCTGGTGCATAAACAAGGTCAGCTGAGTACAGGGAACAGGGTACTCGACTGCTGCTGAGGAACTGTGGTATTTTTGTAGGTCACCAGAAATAGCTGTGCTGTTTAAATAATTTCTCAAAGGACTTATGAGGGTTTACTCTGAAGTGCTTGAGAATTGAGAACTCTAGCTGCACTACTGACCTAGGAAAGAGCTAACTGAGTAGCATTTAAATGCCCCTTTATGCTGCCAAAACATGGGACTTTGAATAGAATGTGTTAAATATATTCTAAGGTAGCAGAAGTTTGCTCAATATCCTAGTATAAAGCAAAATTAAAATCTGTGCAGCCTTTCACAGTGAGTTTTCTTCAAGGACAACGTGAGTTTCACAAACTTAAATGTAGTGGCTAAACAGTCTGGTTTTCACACAAACTACACAGCTCTTTTGGTATACTTTGTTGCCTCAGCAGAGGAACATAAAATAAAGCCATGCCATTTACATGCTTGTTGTTGGAAGAAGGAACATGAAGCCTAATCACAGAGTGTTAGGGGTTGGAAGGGACCTTGAAAAGGGACCTCTAGTCCAACCCCCTGCCAAAGCAGGACCACCTAGAGCAGGTGCCATAGGAATGCATCCAGGCGGGATTCAAATGTCTCCAGAGAAGGAGACTCTACAACCCCTCTGGGCAGCCTCTTGCAGTTCTCTGTCACCTTCACAGTGAGAAAGTTTTTCCTTCTGTCTCTGTGGAACCTCTTATGTTCCAGCTTGCAGCATTGCCCCTTGTCCTATCATTGAACATCACAGAGAAGAGCCTGGCTCCATCCTCCCGACACTCACCCTTTACATATTTATAAACATTAATGAGGTCACCCCTCAGTCTCCTCTCTCCAAACTAAAGAGACCCAGCTCCCTCAGCCTTTCATCGTAAGGGAGATGCTCCACCCCCTTAATCATCTTTGTGGCTCTGTGCTAGAGTTTTTCAAACAGTTCCCTGTCCTTGAACTGAGGGGCCCAGAACTGAACACAATATTCCAGATGCAGTCTCACTAGGGAAGAGTAGAGGAGGAGGAGAACCTCTCTCCACCTACTAACCACAGCCCTTCTAATACACCCCAGGATGCTATTGGCCTTCTGGGCCACGAGGTGCATTGGTGGCTCATGGTCATCCTATTGTCCACCAGGACCCTCAGGGCCCTTTTCCTTTTGCTACTTTCTACTGCAGGGCTTTGACTAATGCCCAATGCAGCCAGAAGATTTTTTAGTTTCTTCACACATTCTTTGGCCCAGATCCATGGGACATCCTCTCTCCCTTTGTCTGAAATGCAGGTTGGAGCCACAGATTATGCAAAAGGTTTTTCTGTAGGGAAGGAGTGTATGCAGTCACATTCTTGCATATTCTTAACATGCTAAAGGCCTTTTTCTGCTGCTCAAGACTTCTGTTATAGGAGTTCTTAGGGTTTGTGTGTTTTATACACGTTAATATGTATATACTAATTTTGTGAATGAGTTCTCTTCCTTGGCAGTATCCCTAATCATATTCTTCTTGCTGGCATTGGGAAATAAAATTGGCTTGCGGTACCATATGTAACTTGGAGAAAGAATTAATCCTCCTCCTAACGCTGTAATAACTTTAAAGAACCACTTGCTTACTGGGAGTAAAAGAGGTCTTTGAACTGGAATCATTAACTTCAAATAATTAAGAACTCGCTGCTGCTTGCTTTTCAGAGGTCTCTCCCCACATAGTAATTTTAGAGATTAATGCTTTTCATATTTAGATAATGCTATTAGCTTTTTCCACTTCCTACTGAGGAGTTTATGCACTTTGCTTTAGAAGTCACAAATGTCTCCGCTTTAATCTTCAGTTTTTATGAAGTTTAAGGTGTCATTTCTATTTTCAGTTTAATCCTTGAGGTAAGTATTAAGTCTGCTTTAACTGCCAGGAATGAGTGTACTTATGCATAAATACTGAATCAGTGATAGTAGAGCAAATTTATGTTCTTTAGCTCTTTTTGGGTCACTTCAGAATTTATTATCTTGAAGGAGTTAGCATTTTTGTTTTGTTTTAACAGGTAGTTTTTAGCATTCTGGCTGAATTATCTGAACTGTATTGTGAGGTGATATACTGTGCTGTTTTGATGTGTGACAGTATCTTTCTGATCAGACAGAAAGCAGACAATCCAGTCTTTGTATTTAAAATGGCAGTGAATGGCATCTCCTACCTCAAATAACTAATTTAAGAAGCAGACTGTGGTTGTATTTTGGGGGTTGGAAGGGGAAAAGACAATGTCCAAAGGAGAAAAAGTGAGGCTGCAAAACCTCATGTCTCTGGAGCCTTAGTGGCAGGCAGATAAGGCAGTGGCATGTGGTGTGCTGATTTCTGCAGCTGGGTGTGCCGCACTGACTTACCAAGGCAGCAGCTCAGTTGCAGAGTCCTAGTACTTGCAGAAGTTGCTTAACTGTTCTATAAAGCATTGTACTGAACTTTATACATTCATGTTAAAATACTAATGAAGTATAGGAACCCTTCTGAAAAATATGATGCCTATACTGACTTGGGCCAAAATTTCACATTTCCGTCAGTGGCAGAAGCATGTCCTTAGAAGGAAGTCTGAGAACAGGACAAGCTTGTAGTGATGCATCTCATGAGTAATTTTAATGTCCAAAAGTTTTTGCGTTGGGAATTTCTGCACCAGATGTTTCTGTTATTTGCAACTCTTGGCAATTGGTGTGTTGTCAACATAGATGTTTACCTCCTTAGCAAAAATGTCTCCAGCTTACCTGCTTATTCTTCTGGAGAACCAAAGGTATGCTTGTACATGAGAGGACAACCAAATGAGGCTTTTTGTGCCTATTGCATTACTTAATAGAAAAAAAAAAAAGTCACTTGGGGTTTGTCTGGCAGTTCTGACTTCTTCAGTCCATAGATCAAATGGCTATGCCTTTCTGCTCTGGGCTTCAGCTCTACATGACAGATACCTCTTAGGTCCTATGATTTGACCATTTATTCCTAAGTTGTGACTGTAAGTCTTGATCTCACAGCTGGAGAAATGGGGGCTTTATTTTCCTTGGAGTGGTAAGTTCCACTTCTCCAGAAGGATACTCAGTTATTTATACCTGAATTCAATTTTTGAAATTCTAACTTGCATATAGCGAGTTACTGAAAGTTGAAGTTTTTGATTTTAGTACTATTACAATCAAAACCGAACTCACTGCTCTACTATATTACACAATGGTGTGATGCAAGTGGTGCTCCCTTCTAAACTGCACTTTGGCAGTAGTTCTGGAAATGCAGAGTGACACCAGAATGAAGACCTTCTGTTTCAAAGCAGTGCTGCTTGGCATTAAGGTTACCATCAGAAATAACAGTCTCTGCAGGCTTCCTTTTCAGCTTCCTCTAAGAGTAGTTCAGAGCATGCAGAAAAAGCTCCTGTGCTAAACTTCTTAGGTTAAGCTTGCCACCCTCTTTCTCTTGATCATGGATTAGTGATTTGCAGTCTTATCAGTTGTTTAGAGTAACAAGTGTAACTATATTTAATACTGCTATATAAGGAGTGGGTAGCCCAACTAGAAACTCCTAGAATAAAAGGGCAGAAAGCACTGTTGTACAGACAGTCTACATCAAGTTACTACTACTGATATTTAATCCTTATTAAGAAATAATGTGATCCTACAGTTGAGACTGTATAATATATAAGATCACTGCTGACTTCAGGCAAACAGATGATGTTTCAGGTATGAGACAATGGTCATAGCTGCTTCAGGTTCCTCCAGAAATACTTCTGACACTTCTGTCCGAAAAGGATCTGTTTGTAGATGTTCATGATGTCTGAATGCAATCTGAAAAAAAAAACAACCCCTGCTCCTCCTGCCCCAAACTGTGCTTATAGGCCATATGTATTAGCTCTTATTTCAGTGGGAGTGTGTCCAATCAACAGCAGAGAACTGCATGGGTAGCAAACAATCTACCTTTGGGAAAGCGACTGCTGGTGAAAGCTGAAGTTTCACAGTGTTGGAGTTCAGGGTGACAGCTGCCTTACCTCTTTTGAAGTCTTCATTCCTATTCTGTATTTTGGATCTTGTAACCCTAATATTTATGTCTCTTTGTCAAAAATGTTGAACACAAAATGGTATTTTGGGTGGAATATATAAGCAAGGTAATCACATAATATCTAAGGTGTAGTATCAAAATCTTTCCTGCTAGCTTTGACATTGAAATGGAGAGACCAATCTGGGTGCTTTCAGGAATTGTGTTATTCTAAATAAGCACTTTAATTTTGTAAGAGGGAAGAGTTCTCTCCTCACTTTTAAAGCTCATAAAATCGAGACACAATTTAATACCAAGGCGATAGAACTGTCAGTGTTTGGGATATGTGTAGAATACATTCACTGCAGCAGCTAAGTTGATGTCAGTTACTTGATAACTGGTGTGTTCATTAGCTGGTCAACAGGTGGTTTAAGTGGTGGTTTTTAGAGCCAGTTGTATTTTATATGTATATCACTTAAAGGTCAGTCTTTTTTTTTTTTAGCACTACATCAGGCTGAAATAGCAGGTTCAGAAATTATAGCCTAAGTTGTCTGTAATTTTGAGATGCTAACACAGAACTGAGCTCAAAAAGAATACAAGAGATTTCTGCTCTGGCTGCATAAACCACAAGAACTATGACAAATCACAACAAAATATTCAATACTTTGTTTACTTACCTTAATCTTCCTATGTGTAGGTGTTTATTTTTTCCATTCTATTGCAAATAATTGTGTTGCTTTCATTATGGAGTTTCTAAATCTATTGGCTGGTCTTACAAGACCAGAAGCTGCTGTTCTGTAGTGGATACTTCCCAACTCTTGTGCCTTTTTTCTTAACTAAATAAGAATGTACTTCTGAAGAAACAGTAAAAACTTATTTGCATAAGCTTGTTCTTAGAATTAGACTTACTCTTCCTTCCAGTACTTAAGACCAAGAGGTAAAAGGAAGTATTTCCCTATTAGCAATGTACTGTGGATTCCCCTGGTAAGTAAAAATGCTGGGGAGATTAATCTCTTTTATGGTAAAATGTCTGTTGTACCTTTATTAAAAGTTTGTATCACCTTTACCATGTAGCTCTGTATATTAACATTCTACTTTATGGAGAATGTCTTGTTTATTTTGAGTAGTCTTTGCTCACTAGAATATGCAACTTTTCAAAAACCTAATCATAATACAGAAATTAATATGTATTAATACCTTCTAGTTAGTGTTATTTTGTAATGCATATAAAGCTGTTTGCAAATATTACTTTTTACTTATTTGTCATAATTTTTGTTTGTTTCAGGGTGCAGTCTCTGGGTCAGTTCAGGCTTCAGATCGGCTTATGAAAGAACTCAGGGATATATATAGATCACAGAGTTATAAGACAGGTAAAATGCTTCAGATTTTCTTCATTAGAATACACTTAAAAGAATTACCTTGGCAAATACTTCATGCTAATCCTTCTGTTGTCATATGTAGATGTGTGTGTATATATGTGTTCACATATATAAGAACGCATAGGTGCATACATATATATACTCTAATGACATAAAATAATGTCTTTGTGCAGAAAAAGGAAGTTGGGATACATGACCCCTAGAATGTTCTGCCTTTTTGTTATGCTCAGCTTTGTGCAAGAATCAATAGGGCTGGTGTAACTGTGAGAAGGTTCCTTGGGTGAATGACTACAAAGAATAACTCAAGATTACTCCTGTGGGAGTTCTTGAGTTTTCAGAACTGCCTGAAATTAAGATCTCCAGGTGTATAGGGCAAAAGCTTTGACCACTACTAGTGGATAGTACTGTTCACAAGAATGTGCTTGTTGTAGAGGGATTTGTTCAACAGCAGGAGGTTTTGTTATACAGAATTTAACCTTAATTACGCTGCTCTTTTATTACTTTGTGATGGTATTAATCTGATTCTGTGTATTCTTGGAATAAGAAAACTTATTCCTAGAATATTTCTGCATACCCTTGGAATAAGGACGCAATAAGAAACAAGCTTGTTTTTAAAATTTTTTTTGAAAACCAAACACCTGATTAGCCTTGGGTAGATAGGTGGTTGTTTCATTTAAGGGCTGGATTTGAACTAGCTGAGCCATGGGATAAGTATGTTAAATTGTCTCAGTGTTACCATGTAAGAAATAGAAATGACTGATTCCAGGCAAGTTGTATTCCTGTAGATTAGCTGGGTAGATGGCCCTATCACTGCAGCCAGCTGGGAGAACCTGGTGCAGGCCAGGATGGGAACAGGAAGAATGCCCAATTAGAAAGTCAGTCTAAACTTTAATCATCTACCTTTTACTTTTCTGAACTTCTCCACTAGTTTATTTCTAGCAAGCTTAAATATCACTTATTGACTATGGTATTTTATTTCATATGTAAGTTGACAGAGCTGGAGAGACAACAGGCTCCTGTTTTGATTTGCCATATTTACCTTTTAGGTAAATAATTTTGTGGGCTGAAGTGCTGGAGTAAAATCTCTTAAGTATGAATTTTATTAGGTAACCTAGTCTTGATCTAATGTAGCCTACTTCTTATCTGCTTTATTGCAACTGAGTGCTCGCCAGTATGCCCTAATCACCATCTATCCGGTAAAGAATAGATTAGTGGGTCTAAGGAAGAGCCTAGATCTGTGTGGAGTCATGAGGTTCGCTTTACTGTCCACGTATGTGCTTATGCTCTTCAGGGTTTGGTTTTGTGCTTAGAACAGAGATCGGGTGTAACAAACGTACTTGACTGTAAAGATTGTTCAGTGCCTAATCATACAGTGGTACAGGTGAAGCTGCTGTAATAGGTGTTGTCCGAGGTGAGAATTTTAGTTGCTTAATAATGCCATTTCTCGGCCTTAGATTATTAACAAATATTAACTAGTTGCAAAAGACTGAACTCCTGACATGAAAAAGCATGCTTCAGCTCATGGGGAGAAGTAAATCTTGCTAACTATGAAGAAAGGGTGACTATAGTAATGTATTATCAGCTTACGACTGGGAAACATGTAAAAAAGACTGCAGTTGGATGCCTTGTGTCAACTCCTAAAATGTGTTAAGGAAGTCGTGTCAAGTGGAGGTTGACGCTGTAAAACTGATGGCAATCCTGCTTTGAAGCACTGTCCTACTGATACCTTTATTAAATTTTGCCAGTAAACAATGCTGTTTGTTATAAGACTTAACCTAGTTTCGTTCCTTATGGCTTCATTCAGTCTTGGGACTTGAGTGAATTTAAAGATCAGTTTCTCTCCTTTGCACAAAACTGATTCTATAGCCTAGTTCTGTGTATTGTTAGGTAACTCACCATGTTAGCAGGCATGTGGTAGATAACTGGCTTGTTTTTTGTGTGTTATCTTTGCTCTGAGTACTTGCTCCCATTTTATCCTTAATTTCTTTTCTTACTGTTAACACACAGAGGGAGCTACTGTGAAACTTAAAAGTTCTGGGTAACTGTTGCAAGGTAATTTAAAAGTGTTTTTATTTTTTATGATGAACCAGATAATCTAAGGCTAACTTTTGGTTACATGAGGATCGCTTTAGTGTCTGTGAGGTTACATGTTTTCAGGATTAACAATATGACAACACTGGGACTTTTGAAGTGAAAAATACTTGTAGTAATAGTCCTTCAAATTTTTTACCTGTTATGCTATTTATTAAAGTAGCATTTAAAAAACACTGTCAGGTGTATATTCAAGTTAGTATCCATTTTAGAACTGAAGTTCCTTTAGTGATTGAAATACTACTGTGGAGTTCAAGGAAAAGATGACTACAAGACGACTTTCTGTCAACAGCAAAGTTGCTTATTGAGCTGGAAAATTTAGGTGAACTACCCCTAAAAAGGAATAGAAAACTTTTTTTTATTTTTGTGCGCTAACAGCAGCAAAAAATACTCCAGCAAATTAGAATGTCCTGCTACAAATCAGACAGTTTCATTAACCTGTTTTGATAATACGAGTCACAAGTCCTCCAGACTAAGATGATTGCATTTCCAGAGGCAGAGTTGGAGACTTGGTTGGTTCACAACTAGTATTCATAAAGGTCTTAAACATAATTGGGGGGGGGGGGGGGGGGGGGGGGGGGGACACAAAAGGGGGTGGGTAGGGGGGGAGGAGGAACCAAAATTTTGAGTTACTAAATGAAACCTTTTTTTGTTCATCCATTTAGCAGCTGTATTGTTTGTATATGGTAACTTAAACCCACTGTTTTTATCCAAAGACTGTATGGGATTTACTTCTAGTTGTAGTAAAATTGCTGTAGGCAAGAAATTGCCTCTATTTTGAACAGAGTTGTTTTTCTTCCTACCTTTTTCTCTTAATTTTTTGGTTGCTTCATGGTTCAGTGTGCTTGCTTTTTCTTCTTCACCTCTATGGATGGCCTCTTAGAGGAATAAAACAAATAAAAACTCCTGTGTTTAAGTGAGAGGAACCTATCTTGGTTCTCTTCCCTGCCTTAAGGACCTCTCAGAACCTGGTACTAATCAGATAAATTCTTCTTGACAGTAACTTTTTTCCTTTTACTGCCTAAATTAAGAAAAAAGGATATAAGCTAGTTCCAAATATCATCTCTTGACTATTAATGTGCACCCCTGCCATGTTAAGAAGCTTCTCTATCAAGACAGCCTTAATGCTGCTGCTGTTCATAAGGACTTGTGAATATTCACCTCAAAATTGGGGTGCTTGAAAGGTTAAGTAGCTTACTGTTCTGTTAAGGGACATTCTTGTCAGTCCTGAACTGTACACTCTGAAGAACCCTTTTACAGCTTCTGGTTTAGCTACAGTACAGCTTTTAAGACCAGCCCAAGTTAGTCCTTTGGGGAAGCTAGCAAAATGCATAGACCTTGGAGCTGAAGGACTAGTTTGTGGATTCTGGGTAAGAGCAGGAACTGTAGGGTGGTGAAAGGAATGCAGGAATAGGGCTAGAGGCTTAGTGAATAAACAAGCTGATGACAGTTTTCTTGTGATCTTCCATTATTTAGGATGTTGTCAGAATTCTTACTGTAACTTGTTCTGTTGCCTGTAAAAAAGTGTTATACTCATGCTAGATGCCAAAGAGGCTGCTGCTTCAGTCTTTGCTCCCTTTTGGGCATATGTAGAAGAAAATATTCTGAATAGTGGTGGAATAGGTTCATCATGACAACAAGCAAAGTTTTCAATGTCAAAGCTTTTGTTGTTATATCAGAGCTGTTACATACAGTTCAAATTTGAAATTTTTATAATTTGTGACTTCCACTTATACTAAGGGCAATTCAGAAAATTGGGCTCTGGGAAATTGGAAAAAGGCCATAACAGCTCCTTCTATTCCTCCTCGAACAGAAATGAGGTATTTGAACTAGCTGCTGATAAAAAGGGACATTGAGAGCACAGTGAGTAAGTTTTCAGACCTACTTAGTTGTTCTGGACTTGGAAAAAATTGAAATTGTGATCTTGGCTGCAGAACCTACTTCTTTGTGGCACCGTGGAAAGGAGAAACAGTTTCTTTACTTTGTTTTCTGAATTTTGGATGCTTTGGAAATAAGGTGTCTGAAATGTCATTTGTTTTCCAAGTTTCAGTGCTTAAAATTTCAACTGCAAGCTAATATATTCTAGAATAATAAAAATTGGAAATGAATACTGTAATTCCTTGGAGAGAGTGATGACTGCAGTTTATTGATTGTATAGCCATAAGAAATCCTAGGCAGGTTCCTGATTTGCATACATCTTCCAAATAATTACATCAGCCAGAGATACGGCATTAAATATTAGCCCAGATAACAAGTTTAGTCATGGTTGTTCAGTGCATACACATGAATAGTCTGTGGGGGAAGAGATTAGACTTTTGAACCTGACTGATAGAGTTGTCTAAATCTTGTCTAATGGTTAAAGACTTCCTGCTTTTTCCTGGACTGCTTATGAACTTCTGCAGAGAGGAAGCTTGACTATACAAGAAGGCATCCTTCCCTTCAAGTGAAATGTGGAACTGCTGTTTAATATGCTTAAAACAGACTGCTGAAAATCATCATCTGGCTTCCTGAAATGGGTGTTCTTTTGACATATCTTTCTGGCTTCTTTGATAAGCTGTTGGGAATGTGCTTCATCCAATGCAGTAACTTCTTTTTTTCTGGGTTTTCCACTCTATACTCTGTCCAGTGTCCTGTCCTAGTCTGCCAATACTGACAACCTGTGAAATATGATGCTGTATAATCAGACTGTGTGCTAAATGTTTTAAAAGTGTGGTGGCCATTATACTGGGTGTAAAATATTCTGAGTACTAAGCAAGCTGGAGTTGTAGCTGTGGAAGTTTTGAAGAGGA